GGAGAGACTAGGAGTGGGTGTAGAGGAGACTATAGGTGGGTGTGGAGGAGACTATAGGAGTGGGTGTGGAGGAGACTATAGGAGTGGGTGTGGAGGAGGGTGTGTGGAGGAGACTATAGGAGTGGGTGTGGAGGAGACTATAGGAGTGGGTGTGGAGGAGACTAGGAGTGGGTGTAGAGGAGAATGTAGGAATAAGTGTGGAGCAGAATAGTAGTGGGTGTAAAGGAGACTATAGGAGTGGGTGTGGAGGAGACTATAGGAATGGGTGTGGAGGAGACTAGTAGTGGGTGCAGAGGAGACTATAAGAGTGGGTGTAGAGGAGACTATAAGAGTGGGTGTGGAGGAGACTAGGAGTGGGTGTGGAGGAGACTATAGGAGTGGGTGTGGAGGAGACTATAGGAGTGGGTGTGGAGGAGACTATAGGAGTGGGTGTGGAGGAGACTATAGGAGTGGGTGTGGAGGAGACTATAGGAGTGGGTGTGGAGGAGACTATAGGAGTGGGTGTGGAGGAGACTATAGGAGTGGGTGTGGAGGAGACTATAGGAGTGGGTGTGGAGGAGACTAGGAGTGGGTGTGGAGGAGACTATAGGAGTGGGTGTGGAGGAGACTATAGGAGTGGGTGTGGAGGAGACTAGGAGTGGGTGTGGAGGAGACTATAGGAGTGGGTGTGGAGGAGACTATAGGAGTGGGTGTGGAGGAGACTATAGGAGTGGGTGTGGAGGAGACTATAGGAGTGGGTGTGGAGGAGACTATAGGAGTGGGTGTGGAGGAGACTATAGGAGTGGGTGTGGAGGAGACTATAGGAGTGGGTGTGGAGGAGACTATAGGAGTGGGTGTGGAGGAGACTATAGGAGTGGGTGTGGAGGAGACTATAGGAGTGGGTGTGGAGGAGACTATAGGAGTGGGTGTGGAGGAGACTATAGGAGTGGGTGTGGAGGAGACTATAGGAGTGGGTGTGGAGGAGACTAGGAGTGGGTGTGGGTGAGAGGAGACTATAGGAGTGGGTGTGGAGGAGACTATAGGAGTGGGTGTGGAGGAGACTATAGGAGTGGGTGTAGAGGAGACTATAGGAGTGGGTGTGGAGGAGACTATAGGAGTGGGTGTAGAGGAGACTATAGGAGTGGGTGTGGAGGAGACTATAGGAGTGGGTGTGGAGGAGACTATAGGAGTGGGTGTGGAGGAGACTATAGGAGTGGGTGTAGAGGAGACTATAGGAGTGGGTGTGGAGGAGACTATAGACTATAGGAGTGGGTGTGGAGGAGACTATAGGAGTGGGTGTGGAGGAGACTATAGGAGTGGGTGTGGAGGAGACTATAGGAGTGGGTGTGGAGGAGACTAGGAGTGGGTGTGGAGGAGACTATAGGAGTGGGTGTGGAGGAGACTATAGGAGTGGGTGTGGAGGAGACTATAGGAGTGGGTGTGGAGGAGACTATAGGAGTGGGTGTGGAGGAGACTAGGAGTGGGTGTGGAGGAGACTATAGGAGTGGGTGTAGAGGAGACTATAGGAGTGGGTGTGGAGGAGACTAGGAGTGGGTGTGGAGGAGACTATAGGAGTGGGTGTGGAGGAGACTATAGGAGTGGGTGTGGAGGAGACTATAGGAGTGGGTGTGGAGGAGACTATAGGAGTGGGTGTGGAGGAGACTATAGGAGTGGGTGTGGAGGAGACTATAGGAGTGGGTGTGGAGGAGACTATAGGAGTGGGTGTGGAGGAGACTAGTAGCGAGTGTAGAGGAGACTATAGGAGAGGGTGTGGAGGAGACAATAGGAGTGGGTGTGGAGGAGACTAGTGGGTGTGGAGGAGACTATGGGTGTGGAGGAGACTATAGGAGTGGGTGTAGAGGAGACTATAGGAGTGGGTGTGGAGGAGACTATAGGAGTGGGTGTGGAGGAGACTATAGGAGTGGGTGTGGAGGAGACTATAGGAGTGGGTGTGGAGGAGACTACAGGAGTGGGTGTGGAGGAGACTATAGGAGTAGGTGTGGAGGAGACTATAGGAGTGGGTGGGTGGAGGAGACTATAGGAGTGGGTGTGGAGGAGACTATAGGAGTAGGAGGAGACTATAGGAGTGGGTGTGGAGGAGACTATAGGAGTGGGTGTGGAGGAGACTATAGGAGTGGGTGTGGAGGAGACTATAGGAGTGGGGTGTAGGAGTGGGTGTGGAGGAGACTATAGGAGTGGGTGTGGAGGAGACTATAGGAGTGGGTGTGGAGGAGACTATAGGAGTGGGTGTGGAGGAGACTATAGGAGTGGGTGTGGAGGAGACTATAGGAGTGGGTGTGGAGGAGACTATAGGAGTGGGTGTAGAGGAGACTATAGGAGTGGGTGTGGAGGAGACTATAGGAGTGGGTGTAGAGGAGACTATAGGAGTGGATGTGTAGGAGTGGGTGTGGAGGAGACTATAGGAGTGGGTGTGGAGGAGACTATAGGAGTGGGTGTGGAGGAGACTATAGGAGTGGGTGTGGAGGAGACTATAGGAGTGGGTGTGGAGGAGACTATAGGAGTGGGTGTGGAGGAGAGACTATGGGTGTGGAGGAGACTATAGGAGTGGGTGTGGAGGAGACTATAGGAGTGGGTGTGGAGGAGACTATAGGAGTGGGTGTAGAGGAGACTATAGGAGTGGGTGTGGAGGAGACTATAGGAGTGGGTGTGGAGGAGACTATAGGAGTGGGTGTGGAGGAGACTATAGGAGTGGGTGTGGAGGAGACTATAGGAGTGGGTGTGGAGGAGACTATAGGAGTGGGTGTGGAGGAGACTATAGGAGTGGGTGTGGAGGAGACTATAGGAGTGGGTGTGGAGGAGACTATAGGAGTGGGTGTGGAGGAGACTATAGGAGTGGGTGTAGAGGAGACTATAGGAGTGGGTGTGGAGGAGACTATAGGAGTGGGTGTGGAGGAGACTATAGGAGTGGGTGTGGAGGAGAGTGGGTATAGGAGTAGGGGTGTGGAGGAGACTATAGGAGTGGGTGTGTGGAGGAGACTATAGGAGTGGGTGTGGAGGAGACTATAGGAGTGGGTGTGGAGGAGACTATAGGAGTGGGACTATAGGAGTGGGTGTAGAGGAGACTATAGGAGTGGGTGTGGAGGAGACTATAGGAGTGGGTGTGGAGGAGACTATAGGAGTGGGTGTGGAGGAGACTATAGGAGTGGGTGTGGAGGAGACTATAGGAGTGGGTGTGGAGGAGACTATAGGAGTGGGTGTAGAGGAGACTATAGGAGTGGGTGTGGAGGAGACTATAGGAGTGGGTGTGGAGGAGACTATAGGAGTGGGTGTGGAGGAGACTATAGGAGTGGGTGTGGAGGAGACTATAGGAGTGGGTGTGGAGGAGACTATAGGAGTGGGTGTGGAGGAGACTATAGGAGTGGGTGTGGAGGAGACTATAGGAGGAGAGACTATAGGAGTGGGTGTGGAGGAGACTATAGGAGTGGGTGTGGAGGAGACTATAGGAGTGGGTGTGGAGGAGACTATAGGAGTGGGTGTGGAGGAGACTATAGGAGTGGGTGTGGAGGAGACTATAGGAGTGGGTGTGGAGGAGACTATAGGAGTAGGAGGGTGTGGAGGAGACTATAGGAGTGGGTGTGGAGGAGACTATAGGAGTGGGTGTGGAGGAGACTATATAGGAGTAGGGTGGGTGTGGAGGAGACTATAGGAGTGGGTGTGGAGGAGACTATAGGAGTGGGTGTGGAGGAGACTATAGGAGTGGGTGTGGAGGAGACTATAGGAGTGGGTGTGGAGGAGACTATAGGAGTGGGTGTGGAGGAGACTATAGGAGTGGGTGTGGAGGAGACTATAGGAGTGGGTGTGGAGGAGACTATAGGAGTGGGTGTGGAGGAGACTATAGGAGTGGTGTGTGGAGGAGACTATAGGAGTGGAGGAGACTATGGGTGTGGAGGAGACTATAGGAGAGGAGACTATAGGAGTGGGTGTAGAGGAGACTATAGGAGTGGGTGTGGGTGTGGAGGAGAGGAGACTATAGGAGTGGGTGTGGAGGAGACTATAGGAGTGGGTGTAGAGGAGACTATAGGAGTGGGTGGGAGGAGACTATATCGTGGTGTGGAGGAGACTATAGGAGTGGGGAGCATCCCAGACGCTGCCTAAGTACTCTGCTATACTTTGCAGGTCTTGGCGTCTGTGGCCCTGGGTGTGCTTTGGATTGCCCAAGTTCCCTACCTTCCTTCCTTTTCCGGGATTGGGTCTCCCGGGTTGTCTGCTCGGTCCTTCGGTCTTGCCAGTTGTCTTGTTTCTGAGTTAGGGCTCGTGGAGTCTGCCTCCCAGGTCCTTCCCTCTTTTCCTTATCTTTAGTGAGGTAGCTCCAGGTAGCCGACAAGGCTTCCCCCCAGAAAACCAGCGTTGAATGTAATGAAACGCCATTTTCTGGGCGAGACCCTGAGGCTCCCTGGCATCCCTTCCTCCCTCCAGTCGGCAGAGTTTTTCGCAAGTTCTCGACATCCAGCATAAGAACTAGTGGGTGGATTGCCGGCGCATGGGTCTGGGGCTGCCCCGTCCCCTTTTCCGGGAAGGTGGGGGGGCGTAGACAGCGGCGCAATAACGTCATACTCATTTGCTAATTTTCGTTTGGGGAGTTCTGTCCACTTGTTAAGCTTTTGCTAGCAATTTTCACCAGAATAGGGGTTTGTTTTGGGGTGCCTACCTTTCTGGGTGCCAGACCTGGTCGATGGCAGACACAGAATGCTCCCAACTACACGGGGATTTCTATAGGCCTTTGCTCCTCGTGCCTCTCTGAAGGGGACCAGGTTCTGGCTCGTGGTACTCGATAGGCAAGAACTCCATGTACTTTACCTGATGCCAGAAAGCTATACATATCCATATCAGCCTGGATAGATCTGGGATTCTCCGTTTCTCACCCAGAAAATGGCAGTTCATTGCATTCAACGCTGGTTTTTTAGCAACATCTATAAAGTTTGATCCCCTACATGAGGACATCACACCAACTAATCAAACTCTAGCTGACCTTTCTCTTGTTCATCTCTCTTCTACTACAGACATGAATCCAAAGGACGCAACAAAACCAATACAGGCACTAGGGAGGATGAAATTGAAGACCCAGACAATAGTTACAACTTGTGGCTGTTGTTCCAAGAAAAGGACAGTACAGCATCACTTGAAGGAGCATGCCAAAACATTCGTGGTATGTTACTACTTTACATACAATTTGTATTGTGCACCTAGCCTTATATGAGCTAAATATTGTAACCCAGTTATACTTACTGTACAGTATATTGAAAGGAATGTAAGAAGTTGTAGCAGCATTCAGTTCTAACTGGCTGTAATTATCTGCTTGGCACCTTCATATATGGCAATAAATGAAGACAACACTCAGCCCCCTTGTTTAAATCCCTAAACATGCTAAACATTAACTCCCTCCACACATTCTCTTGTGTCAATTACATTTACAAAACCATGTTCTTAAATGCAAACACTGCTCTGAAACTCTCCCTGGACAGATGTAATAGGACCCATTATCACCACACCAGAAATAAATATCTTTTTGATATCCCCAGAGTCAAACTTTATCTGTGTAAACACTCTATGCAAATAAAGGGACCTAGTCCATGGAACTCACTCCCAAATGAATTGAAAAGCTGTCCAACTTTTGCCTCATTCAGAACAAAACTAAAAAGTACCTAATTTCATCTTCATAGTTTCCTACCTTGTGCTTTCAAATTGTACTGTATCTAGTGCTACCTAGTCTCCCAATCTTTATATACCTAATCCAAACAACTTTACCATTGTGATCATTGCTGTCTTCTTATATGTGCTATCAATATGCTGTATTGTGCCTATTAATCTTTGTTAATAAATAAATAATAAATAAATAAATTTTTATTCAGGTAAGGTACATACATACAAGGTAAGATAGAAAAGTTGATGGATTTATAGATAGAGCTAGTACATACAATGCCTAAAGCCACTATTATGCAAAGCGTTTCGGGCAGGAAAAACACTAAGACTAAAACTTAATACTAATTGAGACTAAAGTATAAATTGTGTAGAGAAAAAATAAGAAAAAAAAAAAAAAAAAAGGGGGGGGGGGAACATGGCAGAAAAAAAGCAAAAATACAATTTGGTCAACAAAACAGCATTGTTTAAAATAGAAGACATGGGTTGACATTTTGGGGGTGAGGTAGGTTACATTGAGTTAATTAGGTAGTACTTAGTTTTTATCTTAAACTGGTTGGGAGAGGTACAGTCTTTAACATAATTGGGAAGGTCATTCCACATTCGAGGTCCCTTGATTTGTAAAGCATTTCTAGTTTGATTAAGTCGTACTCTTGGAATATCAAATATTATTTGTTTCTGGTGTGGTGCTCATGGGATCTGTTACAACCTTCTAGGAAGCTTTTAAGGTCAGGATTGACATTACAGTTAAGCATTTTATATATATAAAATACACGAGTGGATGTGCAGTGACTTGATATCTAACATATTCAGAGATTTGAGTAGGGGTACCAAGTGATGTCTGGGGCCAGAGTGAGTGTCCTAATAGCAGCTTTGTGTTGAGTAATTAGAAGGCGTAAATGATTTTGGGTAGTAGAACCCCAAGCACAAATACCATAGTTGAGATAAGGATAGATGAGAGAATAAGTCAACAGGGCAGGACGAGGTACATAATATCTGATTTTAGAAAGAATGCCAACAGTTTTTGAAACACTTTTTTGATATATTTAGAATGTGTCCCTGGAAATTCAGCTTGCAGACAATGAGAACACCAAGGAATTTGCCATCTACTTTGTTACAAATTTAGGTATTGTTAATCCTGAGATTTATTTGATTTGAGGATTTATTGCCAAACAAAATATAGAAAGTTTTGTCAATATTGAGGGTGAGTTTGTTGGCAGTTAGCTAGTGATGGACTTTATTTAGCTCAGTATTCACTGTGACATTTAGAGCAAGGGGGTCAGGACTGGAGTAAATGAAGGTCTTATAGTCAGCAAATAGAATTGGTTTGAGATATTGGGAGGCATTTGGAAGGTCATTAATGTAGATGAGAAAGAGGAGAGGGCCAAGTATGCTGCCCTGGGGAACACCAATGTTGATGGGTAGGGTGGGAGAAATTGAATTATTCACAGAAACATACTGGAGCCTGTCAGTAAGGTAAGACTTAATGTACTGCAAGGAGTGACCTCTGACTCCATAATGTTGTAATTTAAGAAGAAGGTTTTGGTGGTTAACAGTGTCAAAAGCCTTACGCAGGTCTACAAATAACCCGACAGGGAACTCATTTTATCAAGAGCTGTATGTATCAAGTTAATCATACGAATAAGTGCATCGTTAGTGCTTTTTTGGGGTCTGAAGCCATATTGACAAGAGCTAAGTATATTGAGTTTGGCTAGATAAGAGTAAAGCTGCTTATAGATTAGTTTTCAAATATTTTTGATAAGTTTGGCAGAATTGATATAGGTCTGAAGTTGTTAACATCAGTGGGATCACCACATTTGTGGACAGGAGTTACTCTCGCTTTTTTTAGAATATCTGGAAAGGTTTGGAGTTCAAGTGACTTGTTGAAGAGCAATGCAATGGCAGGAGCTAAAAATCTGAAGGCTTTTTCTGGGGGGAGCCCCGTCGGTTCTCCGGAGCTTTACCAGGCTGATATGCTAATGTCAGACTTTGGCATTAGTCATGTGTATGGAGTTCTAAGGCCTACCGGGGACCACGGCCAGAACCTGGCCTCCTCAGAACGGCAAGGGGAGCAATGGCCTATAGAAACCCCCGTGTTGTTGGAAGCACTCTATGTCTGCCATCGACCAGGTCAAGCATCCAGAAAGGTAAGCATTCCAAAACAAACCCCTATTCTGGTGAAAATTATTACCTAAAGCCGAACTAGTGGACAGAACTCCTCAACAGAAAACAAGCAAACTAGTATGACGTCACACGTCACCGCGCCGTTGTCTGTGCAGCTTCCCCCTCCCAGGGAGGGGGAAGGGGGAGCCCCAGACCTCGTACGCCAGCTATCCACCCATCAGTTCTTCGGCTGATGCTATAGGCACCGGTTATGTGCTCCGGCTCCAGTGGTTGTTTCAGCACTGTACCTAGAGTGTGGTGTCTGTTTTCTAGGTGGTGCGTGAGCCGGGAGTGATTCTCCAGTACTCGGGCTGCATGCGCCTAGGGTTTCCTTCCCTAGGTGCCTTGTAAGTACTGCCCTTGGGGCTTGGGGCCACCTTCCACAAGTTCCTTGGGTCCTGCCCTGCTTGGCCGTTTACTGCTTGGTTTTCGGCCGCTCTTTGTGTGCTCGGGTGTTCTGTCTTCCTTGTTTGCCTTAGGGTAAGGGGCAGTTTTGCACTGGTGGGGTACTGGTACAGGGTAGGGTACTGTGCAGCTTGTCTTTACCAATCATAGCGGCCGGCTCTGTTCCGCTTGGGTACGCTCTCCTCTTGCGGGTTTTCTTTTCTTTTTGTTTATCTACCTGGTGGAGGGGTCTGCCTTCGTTCCTGCCCCTTGTGTCCCTTGTGTTCTGAGTATTTTCTGGTGGTACCCCCTGCTAGGTCCTCGGGAGTGTACACTTCCGGGGGTTCAGCTCTTAGAAAGTTGTTTGGTAGCTTTGGGTGCTGGTTAGCAGTACCCTGCCTGGGATTACCTGAGCACGAGTCCTCTTATAGTAAACGCTCGGGACCCTGGAAAACCCCTGGGGGCGCACGGGTCCAATGGATGAGTCCCCCCTCGCTCCAACAAGTTTGAGGGTTACTCTCACCCTTTGTCTCTGGGTGACTCTCTGTTTTGCTTCCGTCTGCTGCCTGTGGGGTCGGTGACACCTTCGACCCGGAGTCCTGCGAGTTTGGTTGCTCGTTGTGGCTCAGTTACCCAGTTGTGCTGACTAAGCGGGTGCGGGCAGCAGGGCCATTGCACTTAGAGCCTTGGTGGTGGCAACGCTCTCATGGTATACTCCCCAAGAGCCCCGGGCTGCCTCGTTTTGGTTCGTGTTGGGACTTGGGGGTGTTGGTTGCTTTGGTTCCTTCCACGTCCCCTTGTCTTTTCCCTGGATCCCCCTTCCTGCCTGCATCCGGTTCCTTACCATCTGTAGTTTTGGGGCGGGGTTTGATGGTGTTGAGACTCGGGCAGTCTCAGGGAATTCCCCTTTCGGCATAGTGACGGGGGCATTTGAGCCTGTTCCTCCAGCCGTGTTGTAAGAGTCTGCCAGTGGGCTCCCTTCCTTAGTGTTTTCGCGGCTGCCCCGGTTTTCTGGTACGGCCGGGGCTTTGGGGGGACGGCTCGGCCACGGGGCCTGTTGTGTAGGTTTCCGGGGCTGGGAGGAGCTGCCTTGGGGGGCCTTGGCCCCGTAGGACCCTGTGGTTTTTTTTTTTATCCCCCTCTAGGCGGGGCTTGTGGTTATGTGGAGTGGGGTCTTTCCTCTCCACTCGCTGTACGTGCTGTTGGGCGTCGGCCCCTCCCCGGGCTTGGTTCCTTGGCCTTTGAGTCGGTTGGTTCCGTCCTGTGGGTGGTTGTTTCCTCCCACCCTTTTTGGGACGGTGTTTTCGTCATGTTTCTCCGTTTTTGGGGTTCTACGTGACTTCTGGTCTCGGGTGCGCCTGCACCTTTGTGTGCCTTCGGGACTAGTGTTGGTTTCTGTGTTCTCGAGGGTTTTGGGAAGGTTTTCGCTACTTCTCGCGTTATTGGAACGTCTGTCGGCTCCTCGTCCTTGTCGGCATTTTGGGCTACTTGTGGCCAGTGGCCCAGTTTGGGCTACTTTTGGCCCGGTTGGGCTACTTGTGGGCCAGTTGGGCTACTTGTAGCCCTGTTGGACTACTTGTAGCCTTGTTGGGCTACTTGTAATCTTGCTGGGCTGCTTGTGGCCCGGTTGGGTACCTTTTTGGACTCTCTTCGCTTCGTTGGCTGGTTTTATTGTTCCTGCTTCCTCTTTTGGCTACTTTTCAAGTGCAGTAGTCCTGGTTGGCGCCTTTCCGCAGAGAGGGTTGTGCGGTTCGGCCAGCGTGTCATGCGCATGCGCTGTGGAGTTTGTTTTGGTCTGGGCGGTGTGTTTCAGTGCTGGTGTTTGGCGCCTTTTCTGTGGGGAGCCCCTACGGCTCCCTGGAGCTTATCGGGCTAATGTATGTTACATTAGACCGGGACATTAGCTAAGGAGTTCAGACCTACCAGGGACCAGCGCCAGAACCTGGCCCCTTCAGAGGGGTT